CCTTATCTCTTGTTAGTCCCCTCTTAGCTCTTTCTGAGCATCCCACCTGTGCCTCCCTGCATTTTCATAAGCCAGTAGCTACTCCTGGTACATGTTCCCTACTCATCTCTGTTTATTAGGAGCCTTATCTTGACTTCAATTCATGTCACCTCCACTGTGAAGACTTCCCCAATCCCCCTCTCAATTGTCAGGGTTCCCTAACTCATAATACCCTAGATATATGAAGAGTCAATCTCCCTTCCACTCACAGGAGAAATAATAATTATGTGTTTATCCATTATATCCGGCCAATATATTGTTCGAAGGCAAGAACTGTTTTATTTTTATCTTTGTATCTCTAGTACTAACACAGTGCTTTATAAACAGTAGGCATTTAATAAATTTATATAAAAAAATACAAAAATCTGCTCTGGTGGGAAGGGGCATAATGTCCTCCCTTAAAGCCCCTGACTAAGCTCCTAGAGTCTCTTTACTCTTTGCCTCTTTCCCTTGCTACAAAGCCTGGTCTACTGGAGCCTTTCCCCAGTTCATGGGAGTGTTGCCATTTCCACTGCCTAGAAGATGGGGTGACTAGGGAGAAGACATTCCCAGTTTCCCAGCATCAGGAGGAGGTGATATGTTACTAGTTTCATGGATTGAAGTACTGAATGGAGGAGGCAGAGCCAAGATGGTATAAAGAAGGCAGGGACTCACCTGAAGTCTCCCCTCCAAAGACATTTAAACAATGCTCTAAAACAAATTCTGGAGTGACATAATCCACAAAATAAGGGGTGAAACAATGTTTCAACTCAAAACAACTGGGAAGTTTGGCAGGAAAGATCTGTTGCACTGGAGTGAAGTGCAGTCCATTGCAGGTCCACCATTGCACACTGGGCCCAGCAAACCAGGTACAGGCCTTGGGAGTGACTGAATTACCAGCAGCTGCTGCTGCTTCCAGAGCTCTCAGCCCACAGATGGTAAAGGAGTCAAACAACTGGTCAGAAGGAGATTACAGGGGTCTCTTTGCTGGCACTGGGGGCAGGACTCTGTTGCTTTGCCAATACTTGGATTCAGGTCACAGTCCTGGGTGGCAGTCCCAGGGTGAGGAGGAGCAGTAGCACACCAGAGCTTGTAGCCACAAGGGAGCAGGGACCTTCATCACAGTTACAGGGCAGGAAAGAGTGCTTGTGGTCACTCATAGACCATAGCACTTGCCAGAAGAGAAGTAAACACACCTCTCTTTAGGTCATACCACATTGGAAGAACTGAAAACTTACAGGTCCCTAGAAGTCTCTCTGAAAATGGCTGCATAAAACCCCTGAAGTTTGGGACAGTGCACCCTCTGCCTTGGAAACAGAAGCCCACTTTTGCCAAGAACTAAAAGTCAAGAAATAGGGAAAATGAACAAACTACAGAAAAAAAATTCTCACTATAGAAAAGTACTATGGTGACAAGGAAGATCAAAACATACTCAAGAAGACAGCAAAGTCAAAACTCCTACATCTAAAACCTCAAAGAAAAATATGAATTGGTCTCAGGCCATAGAAGAGCTCAAAAAGGATTTTTAAAATGTATAGAGGTAGAGGAAAAATTGAGAAGAGAAATGAGAGTGATGCAAGAAAATCATGAAAAAAGAGTCAACAGCTTGGTAAAGGAGGCATAAAAAATACTGAAGAAAATAACACCTTAAAAAACAGAATAGGCTGAATGGCAAAAGAAGCACAAAAATTCAGTGAAGAAAAGAATGTCTTTAAAAGCAGAATTGGCCAAATGGAGAAAGATACACAAAAATTAACTAAAGAGAACACCTTAAAAAGCAGAATTGGACAAATTGAAAAAAAGGCACAAAAATTCACTGAAGAAAAGAACTCATTAAAAAATAGAATTGGCCAAGTGGAAAAGGAGGTACAAAACCTCAATGAAGATAATAACCTCTTAAAAACTAGAATTGAGGAAGTGGAAGCTAATGACTCTATGAGACATCAAGGAACAATACAACAAAATAAAAAGAATGAAAAAATAGAAAACAATGTGAAATGTCTCATTGGAATAACAACTGACCTGGAAAATAGATCCAGGAAAGATAATTTAAAAAGTATTGAACTTCCTGAAAGTCATAATAACAAAACAAAAAAAAAGAATCTAAACATCATCTTTTGAGAAATTGTCGAGGAAAACTGCCCTGGTATTCTAGAACCAGAGGGTAAAATAGAAATTGAAAGAATCTACCAATCACCTCCTGAAAGAGATCCCAAAATGAAAATTCCCAGAAACATTATAGCCAAATTCCAGAGCCCCTGGGTCAAGGAGAAAATATTAAAAGTAGCCAGAAAGAAACAATTCAAACATCCTGGAACCACAGTCAGGATAACACAAGATTTATCAGCATCTACATTAAGGGATTTGATTAAAGGATTGGAGGGCTTGGAATATGATATTCTGTAGGGCAAGGAGCTACCAAGAATCACCTACCCAGCAAAACTGAGTATAATCTTTCAGGGGAAAACATTTACATTCAATGAAATTGAGGACTTTCAAGCTTTCCTGATGAAAAGACCAGAGCTGAAGAGAAAGTTTGACTTCCAAATAGTAGATTCAAGAGAAGCATAAAAGATAAACAGGAAAGGGAAATCATAAGACACTTAATAAAGTTAAACTGTTTTACATTCCTACATAGGAAGATGATACTTATAACACATAAGAACTCTTTCATTATTAGGGCAATTAGAAGGAGTTTATATAGACAGAAGACACAGATGTGAGTTGAGTATGATAGAATGATATCTTAAAAAATAAAATTAAGGGGTATGAAAGAGGAAAGCACTGGGAGAAAAGGAAAGGGAGAGGTAGAATGGGGTGAGTTATCTGATGTAAAAGAGTCATGAAAGAGCTTTTATAGTGGAAGGGAAGATGAGAGAGGTGGTGGGAAATGCTTGAACCTTAGTGTCATCGGAATTGGCTCAAAGAGAGAACAATATGTAAACTCAATTGGATATGTAAATCTATCTTACCCTACAAGAAAGTAGGAAGGGAAGGGGATAAGAGAATGGGGGAGGGTGCTCATACAAGGAAGGGTGGGTTGGGGGAGGCAGTAGTCAGTAGTAAAACACTTTTGGGGAGAGACAGGTAAAAGGAGATAGAGAATAAAATAAATGGGGGGAGGGGAGGGAAATAGGATGGTGGGAAATACAGTTAGCAATCACAACTGTTAAAAAAAAATTAAAGCAAGATTCTCTGATAAAGTCCAGATCTCTCAAATATATAGAGAAATGCATCAAATTTGTGGGAATAAGAGTCATTCCCCAAATGATAAAATATGAATAGTTAGTTTTCAGATGAATTTGTCAAAGCTGTCTATAGCCATATGAGAAAATGTTTTAAATCTCTATTGATTGGAGAAATGCAAGTTAAAAACAATCTAAGGTACTACCTCACTCCTATTAGGTTGGCTAATGGGATGGAAAAGGAAAATGAAAAATGTTGGAGGGGATGAGGAAAATTAAGACATTAATACATTGGTGGTAGAGTTGTGAATTGATTCAACATTTTGTAGAGCAATTGAGAACTATGCCGAAAGGCCTATAAAACCATGCATACTATTTGACCCAGCAATGCCACTACTAAGTCTGTATCCCAAAAAAGATTTAAAAAAAAGGAAAAGGACCTACATGTACAAAAATATTTATAGCAACTCTTTTCTGGTGGCAAAGAATTGAAAATCAAGGAGATGCCCATTAATTGGGGAATGTCTGACCAAGTTGTCCTCTATGATTGTATATATATATAATTGTATATATATATAATACTGTTGGCTATAACAAATGATGAGCTAGATGCTCTCAGAAAAATCTAGAAAGACTTCCATGAACTGATGCAGAGTGAAAAAATGGGTAGAACAAGGAGAAAATTGTACACAGTAACAGAAATATTATAAGATGATCACCTGTGAATGATTTAGTTGTTCTCAGCAATACAATGATCTAAGACAACTTATGATGAAAAATGCTATGCATCCCCAGAAAAAGAACTGGTGGAGTCTGAATACAGATTGAAGCATACTTTTTTTTGCTTTATATTTCTTGGATTTTTAAATTTTTGGTCTATGCTTTCTTTTACAACATGACTAATGTGGAAATGTTTTACATGACTACACATGTATAACCTGTATCAAATTGCTTGCCTTCTCAGTGAGGGAAGGGGGGAGGGAGGGAGAGAATTTGGAACTTTATTTTAAAAATGAATGTTGAAAATTGTTTTTACATGTAATTGGGGGAAAATAAAATACTAAATTTAAAAAAAAGAAATATTAAAGTTAAGTTCTCTAGTATTATCACAGACCTCTCTTTTGTTCAGGGATATTATAGATTAAACAGGTCTCTTTGAATCTAACCACCGCAAATATCATCATCTCCAACTTCCAAACCATCCTTTTACAGATGAACTGGAACTCAGCCCATCCATAAACTGAAGACAGACTGGGTCTGTTTAGGCAGGTAGAAATAAGTCAAAATAAAAGGACAGACAGATGATAGATAGATGGATAGATGGATAGATGGATAGAAAGAAAGAAGAATGCCAAACTCAGGTTAATTGCAGTAACCACTGAAAGTCCTTGAGAACAAATGATAAAACACATTCCTCTCCTCAGTAGAGAGGTATTAGAGCACAGTTTTGCATGCTTTGTCTGACTCAGTCATTTGATTGATTTTGTTTAACTGTTTTTCTCTGTTAGGAGAGAGCTCAGGAAGGGATGAGGTATATTGGGGAATGAATATGATATCAAAATAATCAAAAGAAATCAATAAGCTTTTGGAAAAATTAATAAAATAAATATGAGGAATTGAAAAATATAAAGAAAAAGGGGAATTGTTTCGTATGACATAGTACAAGAGATATAGTGACCTTATCAGGAATGCTCAGCTGGAACTGAACCTCACCTTTTTTCTTGGAGAAATTTGGAAGGTAAGTTTGCTGTAAATATTTTATAACATTTTACACATTCTGTTCTGTTTATTTTTAAGGAATCATTAAAAGCTGTTCGATATGAAGTGTCTCCAGATCAAGAGTATGCCCTTTTCTCCTATAACGTGGAACCGGTGAGTATTACTTTTTAGTGCCCTAGCGACCAGGTATTTCTTTCTGCTGCTGCTGCTGATTCATTATTTAGTGAGTTTCCTTGGAATGCCATTCTCTGCTATCTTCGTAGCATGAGGTACTTGGACGGTCATGGGATTGTCTCTTTGTATGTCACAGTGCCATCTAGCAGAGAGGAAGGGTATAAATAACTGCACAGCTGAAGAAATCACCATCAGTCAAGGAAGCATTTTATAGGATTTTCTTGGGGAGATGGTGAGGATGCGTCTGTCTACAAGAATTTATCTTACCCTTTCATGTTATTTTTTTCTTGCCATTTCCTCAATCACACCATAAATTTCTTCCTGGGAACCAAAAGCAACTGCTAGCATCCCCCTCCACTAAAACAATACATTAATTATCATGTCACCATTGCTCGTGCCATAGTTAAGGGCGAGCTATCACTTTCCTTGTATAAATCCTAATTTCCAGCAGATTATAGGTGACTCTTACATAAAATTTCACCCTGACTCCTCTATAAAAATTCACCTTGAGTACAGGGCCAGTCTAATCCTCCAAAGGCTGAACAATGTATCTAGATATCTTCTTTTTTTCTTCAGTCTTGTCAGAAAAAAAATGCATTTTGTCCTATTTTAATTGTAAAGTGGCAACAGAAGTAGCATTTTATAGAGCTGGGGCAGGCAGATGTTTTACTTGGAAAAAAGTAGAAATTTTAGAAGAATGCATTTGTGAAAGGAATCACACTGTCCAGAAAACAAGCAAAGAGTAAAAGTATACCATTGCCTCTCTGGTTATCAGAAAACCAGGTTCAAGTCTTACATCTGCCACTTCTTACCTGTAGGACATTAAAATTACGTTGCCTCCCTTGACCTGAGTTTCCTTGTCTCCAGAAGGCGGAGTCTGCACTAATTTACTTGGGCTGTAAATTCCCATCCATCTCTAAATTCTTTTTTTTCTTTTTAACATGTGTTTTTAAAACTTTGGGTTACAAATTTTCTCCCTTCCTCCCTCCCCACCCACCTTCATCTCTAAATTTTACAATTAAAATATGTTTGAAGAGGGCTCTATCGTAGTCTAAATCTAGTCTTGGTGAGTCCTAAATGAATTTGAAAGAAACCTCAAAGCAGAATGAAGAGTGATTGAACCATAACTACAGATTTTGTAGCACAGTTCCAAAAAGGCTGAAGTTTTACAATAGCATTAAAGGCAACAAGCATTAGTTCCTAAGAGATGGACTCATCTCCCATTAAAATGTGCTGTTTGTGACTACAGTCTGCTCTCATCAATTCATCCAGGATATGATGTCAGCTTGTTATAAGTTGCAGTTGTCTTGACCTAAGCTGTTAGGAGTCCAAAACTCTGAGGATGGAAAAAGAGGATACTATTTGGTAGTCACTTTTCTTTCCTTCCCTCCAACTCTGGCATACCTCTGGATAATAGCTTGTTTCCTTTATGCCAGGATAGTCAACAGAATTACAGTTGTTGCTCCCCTTATGCCAGGAGAAACTGTGAAATATTACCCCTTCTTCTTTCCCCATCTTCTCTCTAATCTAGGAAAATATCTTATTGCCTGGATTAGAAAACATGAAAAAAAGATATGATAGCTTTTTTTTGTATTCTCTCTTAGTATAGTGCCTGGTATATAATACTGAATCAATGCTTTTTTATTGACTAGCTGTAATCAGATATTCATAGGATTTTAGAATTGAAAGGAACCTGAGAAATGTCCTAGGGCAATCTTAATTTTACAGGTGTTGCAGATTGGTAGTAAGGCAGATATGTGGAAGGAGTAGTAGACCTGCTTTTTGAGATTCCAGAGGTCAGACCTAATAGCAATGGGTGAAAGTGGCAGGGAGGCAAATTTTGGCTCAACGTAAGCAAGAAATCTCCTAGCAGTGAGAGCTATTCAATAATGAATGCAATCTGAATTCAATAATGAATGCAAATACTTACTAGCTGTGTAATCCTGGGCAAGTCACTTAATCTTGTTTGCCTCAGTTACCTCATCTATAAAATGAACTGGAGAAGGAAACAGCAAACCATTCCAGTATCTTCACCAAGAAAACCCAGATGGGGTCACAAAGAGTCAGATGCAACTGAACAACAATAATGAATTGAAGACTCATTAGAGTGGTTGACAAAAGGATGAATGGCTATCTGACAAGGATGTTGTAGAAAATATGCTTGCATTGGCTGGACTACAGGACTTCTAATTTTAAGATTCTATGATTCTGTCCCTTGGGATTGCTCTAATGTTGACCCTTCTTATGTCCAAAGTTGTCTTTGTAAGAAAGCCTGAAGAATTGTTATTAATAATCTTTTAGTTTGTACTGATTGTGAGTCCTCCCCGCAGTACAATGCCATGTCCTAGGATCTGTACATAAGAACCTTGAGGTAATGTTTTCTTCCTACTACATGTTTGCTGGACTCTTAGAGCCATTTGGTAATACACAACTGAAGAAAATTATTCAGATGAAAACCATGACAACATTTAAAGTTTTGGGAATGTGCTTTCTAAGGAAAGGCCAAAGGAATGGAGTGTTTAACTTGTACAAGGAAATGGAAGCTTTAAATGTTTTTATTGTTGTTTATTTATTTTTCAGTTGTATATGACTCTTTGTGACACCTTTTGGGGTTTTCTTTGCGAAGGTAATAGAGTGGTTTGCTGTTTCCATCTCTAGCTGATTTTCCAAATGAGGAAACTGAGGCGAACAGGGTTACGTGATTTGCCCAGGGTCACACAGCTTGTGTTTGAGGCCAGGTTTGAACTCAGAAAGAAGAGTCTTTCTGCCTCCAGACCCAATAATCTATCCACACTGCCCCTTTAAATGTATATAAAGTTAATATCTGAGTGTAAATGGGTCACTATTGTCTGTTTTCAAATTTTTCAATTCAACCAACTCTTTTGAAGGTACTTATGTTTGACTAGGCACTATGAATTCAAAGACAATAATAAAAGTCTCTCCCCTCAGAGAATTTACGTTCTACTTCTGGGGAGGTGAGGGATTGGGATGAGGACTTCATGGCACATCATCATGTATGCAAATATGTTGATATATTTACACAATAATATAATCTCAATAAGTAGAGAACTCTAACAAAGTGGGGAATCAGGAAAGACTCCTGTGAAAGAAAGCATCTCAGTTGTGCTTTGAGGAAAGCTAGGGCTTTCATGAGATAGACATAAGAATGTATTCTTACGTAAGAATGTATTGAAGAAATGTATTCCAAACATAACAGAATCATCAATACAGAGGGACTGAAATAGGAGACAGAATTACGTACCTGGTAAATAGCTACCAAGCCAGTTTAACCACAACAGAGAATGTAAGGAGGAGAATAATATGACGTAAGATTAGAAAGTCAGATAGGAACTAAATTCTAGGATTTTGCATATTATTTTAGAGGCAAAAGGGATCCACAGATTTTTATCCTGCCACAAACCTGGTTTAATGTATTTCTTACCTCATGTGTGGATTTTTGTAAAAATGAGTTATAGAGGAAAGAACATTGATTTCAGATTTAGAGAACCTGGGTTCAAATGCAAGCTCTGCTCTTGACTAGCTGAGTGATCTTTAGAAAATCACTTCACCTTCCTCGACCTCATTTTCTGTTTCTGTAAAATGAAAGGGTTAGGCTGGATTAATTCCAAGGTCCCTTCTAGCTCTAAATCTCTCATGCGCCTAAGAGCTGACCTTCATTCTGTCTCTACTCTCAGTCCAATTCAATAGGTGTTACTTAAGCACCCACAGTGTTTAGAGAATTGTATTAGGCACTGGGGAGAAACAAAGTTTAGATAACACACAGTTCCTGTCCTCATGGAAAGTTAGAGTATTGGTAGATTGTGGAGGGGTTGGCCAAGAAGTTTGAACTTTACTGGGTAGAGATCTTGTAGGATGTATTCTAGAATTGATTAATTTAGATTAGATGACCTCTAAATCTAATATCCTAAGTCTTTTCTTGGGTTTTTTATTTGATTGAAGGGTTTTAAGGAGAGGAGAGATGACTAGATTAATGCATAAGGAAAATTAGCCTGGCTGTGATGTGAGGCTGGATTTAAGTGGGAAAATCTTAGGCCTAGGAGACAGGAGGAGAGAAAACATGGACAGAAGTAAAAGTTTCTAATTTTCTTCAGGGTAAGGGTCATGTTATGTTTTGTAGCATCCACAGTGCCTGGTATTGAGCTTTGTGTATTGGTACTTAGTAAACATTTGTTCATTGTTGAATGATTCAGAACAACATATCATTAACATGTCAGTATATCATATTTTTAACCTGTGATTGTTATTGTAGGAGCCCTCTCCTTGTGAGGAATTCCCTTTGATAATGCAGAGAAGCATATATTCTCCAACTTACAGTCTTAAAGAGATTCCTGGAAGATTGAGAGGTTAAGTCCAGAGTCACACAGCATTAGAGTCAGAACTTGAATCCAAATTTTCTTGGGTCAAGGCCAACACTTTATCTATATTCCCTAGAACATTTCAATACCAATAACTCTAGCACTTGATAGCTTTTGTAGCACTTCCCTCATAGCAACCCTGTGAGGTAGGTAATAATAATATTATCTTCTTTTTAATAATGGGGAAACTGAGCCTCAGAGATTAAATGACTTAACTAAGATCACATGTCAAAATACTGGCGTGCCTAAAGTACAGAGGCCAACCATAAACATAAAATCCTATGAAAATATTACACAAAGTAGTAGAAAGGATGGACAAACATGGTTCTTGAAATATCTTTAGAATACAATTAGGTTTGCCTTAGGCTAAAATTAATTTATTTTACTCTCTCTTCAACTTTCTTCCCAAAAAAAAGTCCAGAACTTAACACAGCAACATTATTCTTCTGGTGATGCTATGTATGTCTGAAGTATGGAATACTACATTCTCCAAAGGAGTAAAGTGTAGGTCATCCAAAAGCAATGGAGAGGTTTATGGTAGGCATGGGTAGACTGTCCCTTATGACCAATAAAGAATTGTGCAAGAAAAGCAACAGAAAAAAT